AACAAACAACCCAGTTAGAAAATGAGAAAAAGTCTTGAACAGACACTTTAGCAAAGCATGGCAAATAAGCACATAAGATGCTCAGTATTGTTAGCCATTACAAATGCAAATTAAAACCATGATGACCACTACACACCTATTAGAATATCCAAAATACAAAATCTTTTTTTTTTTTTTTAAGATTTTGTTGGGGAATTGGGGGAGGGGAACAGCCAAGTTGTTGTTCTTCCATCTTAGTTGTGGAGGGCGCAGCTATCTCAGTTCCAAGTCCAGTCGCCATCCAGCCGCCCTTCGGTAGCTCGCAGCCTCTCAGCTCAAGGTGCCATGTTCAATCTTAGTTGCAGGTGGGCGTAGCCCACCATCCCATGCAGGAGTCCAACCGGCAACCTTGTTGTTAGGAGCACGTGCTCTCACCAGTTCAGACATCCTGCCACCTGTTTGGCAGCTCAGCTTGGATGCAGCTCACTGGCCCATGTGGGAATAGAACCGGCGACCCTGTTGTTTAGAGCTCACGCTCTTAACCAACTGAGCCGCTCGGCAGGCCCCAAAATAAAAAATCTTGACAATACCAAGTGCTGGCAAGAATGCAGAGAAATTACGTCTCTCATACACTGCTGTGGAAATGTTAAATGGTACAGCCACACGGGAAAATAGTTTGGCAGTTTCTTCTAAAACTAAAAGTATACTCACCATATGACCCAGCAAGAACACTTCTAGGCATTTAAAACCTGTATACACATGCCCATAGCAGTTTTATTTATAATAGCCCAAAACTGGAAAAAAGCCAGGTGTCTTTCAGCAGGTGAATGGTTAAACAAACTGTGGTACATCCACAGCATGGAATACTATTCAGCAATGAAGGTGGGATCAAGGAGCCCTGTTAGATGGTTGGAATACTGGTGACATCATAGAATACTGTGCTAAGCAGCTCATAGTTTTGTGTGGAAGGCAAACAAGATGAGCAAGAATGTGACCAGTAGAGAGAATATACAGGATTTGGTGGACCCCCCCAAGGAAGAACAGTCAATATGACCTTGGGAGATTAAAGGTTTTCTAAAGGAAGCAATGGCTAAGCTGAGACTGGAATGCCTAGCAGTGGGGCTCATATCCTGTGTAGTCCCTCCTGCTACAATGGAGAGGTTTAGAAGGATTATGCCCTGGGAGATAGGGGAAAAGGGGAGGAACAGCTTGTGAAGTAGGAGGAAAACCAAGGGAGTATGGAAGCCAGGTGAAGAAAGCATTTCCTGGAGGAGGGAGTGGTGTCATGCTGCTGAGAGGCCACATAAGATAATGGGCCGGTGGCTTTGGCAATGTGGTGGTCATTGGTGGCTTGACAGTTACATTTGGTCGACTAAAGAACTTGGCACATGGCAGAAACTAATTTTGAGTGAAATACATTAATTTTAAGGTCCATTTTGTCTAATTAACAATAAGCACAGTTTATGAACTATCATTTCATTACTCAGGTTGTGTGTCTTTTCATGATGTCTAAAATATGGTTTCCAGGGCCAGCTGAGTGGCGCGTTGGTTAAGAGTTGGCTTGGGACACCAGCTCTGAGCAGCAGGGCCCCAGTTCAGATCCCACATTAGGGCAGTCACGCTGTGCCCTGTACAGCTAAGATGGTGAACAACAGCTCACCCTGGAGCTGGGCTGCCGTGAGTTGCCGGCAGCGGCGTAAGCTGCAGTGGGGCTGGCCTGCAGCTGGAGTGCACTTTCGTGAGCTGCTGTGAGCCGCTGTGAGCAGCCATCCAATGGCCGGCGAGCGAGCAACTGGACTGCCTCAGCCAGGAACAGTGCAATGATAATATTAACATGGGCCAGGGAAGCGACGTCCTCCACTAGACTGAAGAACAAAAGGACAGCAACTTGTCTGTTCCCCTTCCCCCAATTCCCCAGCGCTCTTTCCATCTCCCAACTCCCCAATAAAAATCATTTTTAAAAAAAAGATGGTCCTTATCTTTTTGCATTTCATTGAAGGCAAACACGGACAGGAATCTGCCATTAAGAAAAAAAGGCAGAGCTTGGCTGTTTAGTCTTATTTGAGACCTCCTTTTCATCTAGATTAATCATCTAACCAAATTTCTTTGTTTAGTTCCAAAGCTTCTAAATTTAAAACAACACAGACTAAGACATTTTACAGCATAGCACCTGAATAAACAAAAATATTTTAGGTCCAAGTGATTTGTTTCTAAGTTTTTTCTTTAATCCTGTATGGGAGCTTCAGTCTGATATCATAGTTTCCTTTCTCAAAGAGGGCATTTATAAGAGTCATTTCCAGTGTCAGCAGCAGCAAGGTATCCACTCTACAGTTGGGGGACATTACTTGCCCAGGGTCACAAGCTGGTACACAGGGAACCATGGGTGATCACTCTAATTTTCTACCCTCTCCTTGATTCAGTGCATCTATCTAGTGGGTGCTACTCTCAGAACAAAAACATTTTCATGGTAGCATTCTAGGCCCTCAATTGGGCGTTTCATTTCACTTCTCATCCAACTAGCAATCCAGGTCCTCTTCCATCAGCCTGGATTTTTACTAGTCTCAAAGGGATGCCCACTTTTCCTAAATCTATCCAAATCCTAACCTTCCTTCTAGCTTAGCACAAACCACCACTGTCCCCAACTTTTCCCACTACACAGAGGTGCCTCCGCCCCACTGCCCCTGTACCATTTCTCCACCATAATTTACAATCTCACATTTGCTAATTAATAATTAAAACATAGGCCGGCTGAGTGGCACGTTGGTTAAGAGCTGGCTTGGGACGCCAGCTCTGAGCAGCAGGCCCCGGTTCAGATCCCACATATGAGGGCAGTGACGCTGCCCTCTACAGCTAAGATGGTGAACAACAGCTCAACCTGGAGCTGGGCTGCTGAGTCGCCGGCGATGGAGTAGGCTGCAGCCCCTGCTGCAGTGGGTTGCCATAAACTATCGTGAGTGGCTGGCAGCCAGCATGAGCGGCTGGCAGCCAGAGTGAGCTGCCAAGAGCCGCTGTGAGCGGCCGTCCGGTGACCGGCAACCAATCTGCCTCACCTGGGAAGAGTGCAATGATAATACCAACATGGGCCAGTGAAGCAACGTCCTCCACAACTAGACTACAGAACAAAACAACAGCAACTTGTCTGTTCCCCTCCCCCAATTCCCCAATAAAATCTTTAAAAAAATAAAATAAAAATAATTAAAACATGCTAAGACCTCACACATTCAGAGGTTAGACTACTGGTAACTTCAACTACCCAGAACACAATGTAGCGAAGTTAAAAACAACAAAAGCTTTGGAGTAAGAAAAAACAGCTGTCATAAGTTTATGAACTTGATTCTAGAATTCTGACACAAGATTATAGATTCTGTTGATACATATTCATACAGTGGTAACAATCTGAATATTGTGGACCCTGTGGAACCACAAGCCCCTATTATCTAACATTGATGGAGTGCTTGTGCTGTGCCAAGCACTGTGTTAAGTGTTTTACCATACAATCCAGAGGAGAGATTAATGAATTTGCCCCAGGCCACTGTTGGTAATGGAAGGAGGCACAGAAGCCGTTGCTTTAAACAATTGCATTTTCCAGCCTGTGAGCAAGCAGCTTGACAACACCGAGGCAGGAATCCTGACTGCAAGATAGTCAGCAGGACTGAAAAAACCAGACACTAAAACTACAAGTGCTTAGAAGCCTGGGGGATGCTCCATGTGCCGGAACAAAGAGCTTTGCTTGCAGCTCCAAAGGTTGGCGCCCTGTTATGGCACAATACTGGGGACTCAAGTTCCAAGTCTGAATTTAACTTTCCCTGTCTTGAAAAGGATTATTTTGTCTTTGGTAACAGTTGTTTTGGTAGCTGGGTAGTAGCATACACATTCTGGAATGACCTCCAAGGAAAATGGTGAAAACACAAAACTTTTTCATCCTAAAAAGGTTCAGGGACTCAGAAAAGTCATTCCTGAAAACCTGTGTTTTAAACAAAGGAGGTGTCAATCTAAGTCATATTTGCATAGTAGTTAATCGCTTTTCAAAGCCTTTCACATTCACCTATTTTACTGCTTTCAGCACTCCAGGAAGGGAGTGGAGCGGGGCCAGGTACGGGAGGAAAACAGCATTAACTCTACTATAAGAGAAAGCTTCAACTCCTATTTAGTGGTGGAGCCAGATAAAACTCCAGGTCTCACCAGCCAGTGCCGCCTGGGACTGTTTCTAAATCAGAAGGTTCTTCACTTATTGTACATAGCTCAGGACGTCTGATAAACACACCTCTACATCGTATGTAGACTTTCAATACAGGCGGGCTTCCTGGAAGAAGCCGTCTGAACAGCAGAGGCCGGTGATGCCACTAGCGGCGGCCCCATTGCGATGGTCGCGTGTCACGTGCGGGGGATAGTCGCGGAGTACAACGGGAACACCCCCCCACACACACACCTGCCTGCAGCAGCCCCCACGTCACGTGACAAGCCGGGCTCCCGGGTCACGTGCGGGGGGGGGGAGTTCGGGGGCGGCGGGCGTCCGAACAGTGCCGGCGGGGCACGCGGGGAGCGCGCGAGGCCGTGCGGGTCCAAGCGGGCCGGAGCCGCGGAGGGAGGAGGCGGTGGCGGCGGCGGCGGCGGAGGGGGCGGCCCCGCGGCCCCGCGTCCGCGTCACGTGGTACGAGGCGGGCAGCCATCTTGCTACAAACACAAACAGAGAGGAGCG